CTTGATTCATTCGTCTACATACACAACATCTTTTGCACGGCAACAACAGCGAAAAACATCAGGAATTTCTCATGCTCCCTATCCTCGCCACGGACACATGTATGCGACTGTTTCTCTCGATGCATCAAAGGTGTGACTACGATTCGGGTTTCTATCCTGATTGAAAAGCTCAGTGGATGACAAAACTCAGCCTTTGTCTTACTCTTAATGTACTCGTCAATTAGTCTCTAATTTGATCGACGAAACAACCTCTGTAATAGACACGAGAAGTTGCTCGGAATTCTAAGTGTTATCATATATTTTTTTCTTGTTCCGATCTTGTTGCCTTATCATCATCCACTTTCGTTGTATGCTTTTCACTCGACTTCCCCTCACTTTTTCCCTCAGTTATATGTACTCATTATTTTTAATCTCGATTCTTTTGTTCCATCGCTTCTTATACTCTCGCCCTTTCTCCTTGTAAGATTTCTCTCACTCTGTCCGCTCTCGTTTCTTATCCTGCCTATTTTTCAGCTGTCCTTCTACCTTTCCGTATTACGTTTTCAATGCTCTTACTCTTTCCCTCAATTTCTTGTCCACGATGATAATACGAACGACAGTCTAATAGAACAGTTATTATTAACGTATTATGTCTTCGAAAATGATGGCACCACCTGCCTAATAAAAGACGCACTACTGCTTTTTCAGGTATCCTAATGTAATTATCCTCACCACCTCTAATGTAACTGGAGCCATAGACTTGGCATTTGTGGACAGGTATGTTTAGTGGAGATTTAATGCAATTTTTTTCGGATGTGCGTCTCAATAAAACAGCCCGCTTACACTGCAGTTTAATGAATAACCTTCACAAGGTCTTCCACCTTGGAAACGCGAGTTTGCGATTTATTCAGTAAGGTTTCATGATTTAGCTTTCTTTTATCAACGTAAATGAAGATGGTTTCGGAGGTCCAGTGGTAAAACGGATGGAACCCTTCATTTTTAGTCATCTACAATGGATATGATGAATTTGTTTGTTATTTTTGCGTTGTTGTTGTTGTTATTGTTATTGTTGATTTTATTCTGGCGTCATTTCTTTCTTTCAATCAACAGGGCAGATATCAAACAGTACATCGGACCTCCGTCTGTAAATGCAATATTTTCCATATATCATTCCTGCATCGCTGAGCTTATGAGGGTAAGAGTATAACGGATTTGTCATCGAGAAGGTGTCATTCATTTATTGTTGATGTTATACGTTTGTTGTTCTTTTTCCAGGCAGGGATAATTTCTCCTGTGCAACAGATACTTGGCATAAGGTTTGCTCTATCATTTTTGTGCTTTTCCAGTGAATTGTTATCCTCTTGTTGTTTTACTCAAGGGAAGATTAACCAGAGACTGACCCCCCCCCTTCCCCCCCTCCCCACCCATAGAGGGCTCGCTCCAAGCGGAATCTCTTTAGAAAATTAGAGAATTTTCTTTAGAATCAAGGTAACCGGTATCCCTAGTATAAGGCAATTTCCAATTGTGTTTTGGAAGTAATCCGGGATTGCATTGGGTTGCCTTACTACGATCTGTGATTGGTCTAGAAAACTGGCCCCCGTTACTTCAACCAATCAGATGCAAAAGTGCTTGGCTTCAGGCAGTTTGCTTGTTTTCGCTTTGAGTTCTCACTTGCTCCTGAGGATATTTTCGTTTGTGTTGATTGATAGTTGTGGTAACTTTGTTTGTTGGTTTTACGAAACCTAATGTAACATCTATCGCCCGGGCATCCTGAATGTTTCGGTGAAGAACGCGTTGCATGGGATGGCCTCGTAAGCAAAATTCACGACACAGGATTGGTTGTCTGCTGGGATCTCCGATTATGGGAGTGATTTAAAAATGACATATCATCGTGGGAGTAAGGGTCACGTGAAGATTCAGTCTCTTAGCCTGATAATCTCTTAATTTACCCTGTTACTGGTGGGTAATCTTTAAACATAATAACAATATGCTAACAGAATATATTCTTTCCTTTTTCCAACGGAATTGCCGAACAGGGACTTGGAAGTGTTACGGTGAGTTGTTGTTTTAACGAACGTCTTCCGCTATCACAGAATCTGCATTCAGAAAGTGGGTGTCTTCTTATAAATCGTAAAAAATTAGAAAGCTCAATGGACGCATTGTAGAACCCCGCCAATTCGGACTACCAATGACAACGGAAACAATCCGAGGTATTATTGGAGGAGTCCGTTTTTGCAGTTAAAAGCTATTCCATTCCTTTATGATGACCCTCGGCGAGGGTCTTCTGTGTTCGGATGAACTGTTAGAACGCAAAGACGATAATATAACTCCTGACTGTACTGTAATGAGTTCTAATGGCTCGTAGCTAATTCCCTTTCGGTGAAATGATTTTAAATTCTAATTTTGTTCTTTCTTTCTCAGTTTTGTCCATAATGATGCTACAAACTTAAGCCTGGAGCTTTTAGAAATAGCGAGGTTGGTCTCATAGAGTTTGTCCACTGTCTATATTGTTAACGTTTAAAGTTGACAAAGTGTCGTTCCCTATTTCTACACAGGACACCTTTGATACTGCTGATCGTAGCAGCATGTACTGCGCTGGTCAGCTCTGTACCTAGTGTATGGCCTTAAAAGCAGTCTTTAAGCTTCTGGCGTAACTTGCTTTAAGGTTTTGTGGCAGTTTCTCGCAAAGTATATCCGAAATCAGAAATTGGTTAAGAATCCTCATGAGAACTTTGTTTACAAGTAAAGTCGTTGAAAGATGAACATCTTTCTGTTCACATTTACCTGTGTCTTGTTGAAGAACAATAAATTGTGTTGGCCTGTATTTGATATTCTACATTAATTTGCTACAGGAAGAGTCATGGACTGAGTGGCAGGACCCTCAGAAAGATTCCATTTTTGGCACATGCTGGACACGTTCAGGTCTGTTCAAGCTGTAAATTAGGGGAATTTTGTGCTGTTCAAGTTGTTTGTTTGTGTTCTCCCGAGTCAAATACGTGTTGCTAGAGTTTCCATCTTTGATACAAGGATGAGTTCATTACCTCTCACTAGAGTTGAAAATGTATTCCTAAATTTTGCTGGTATGTCGTTTACAATGTGCGTCAAGCTCTCCATTCTTAACTATGCTTTTACCGTCTTGTTTTACCTTCGGTTTTGTTCTTGTTTTCTGACACGTTTTCAGGTGCGACCTGAGGTGTAACGCATCTCAGCGTAGTCTCTAGGTTTTCTTCGAAGCTTAACTCAGGAAGATCCTAAGAATCATTACGTATTAGAGTAGGGCTGGAGAAGAAACGGTTTCAAAGGAAAAAAGAAACTGAATTTGTTTTCCAAGCTAGATTTCATTCATGAACGTCGCGGGCCCTTGAGGCGGGGTATCATCATTCTGTACAAACTTCGTATTTTTTATCTTCTACCCAGACTCCTGCTGTCGCGTTGGCAGCCTTTCTGAGTGCGCTTTCATGGACGGTGGATAAACAGTTTGAAGACCGAGAGAATCTGAAGAATGACGACTGATAGCCACACTTCTGTTCAAAAATGATCAAGAATAGCCTGTATAAACTAGTATCAGAGACAGGATTGGATTGCACGACTGTTGCACCTCTGATGAATTTTTCTTTATGCTATTCCGCCTTTAAATGCAAATTATTGCAGTTGCACTATGCTTAAATTAAAAGATATTTAATGCGCAAATGATATTACTCACGATTGGTGACAGTGTTAAATTCTCTCATCATCTTAAGATTCGTGTTTTGATGCAAGATTCCGAATTCCACGGCATATTGCTGCGTCGTTGGACGCTTTTTCATGCGCTATCTCAATGTTAGGATCAAGCGCGAGCATGAACTCGTCACCAGTGTCGCGCTAGTGTGGGAAACGGTAGAAGAAGAGCTGAAAATGTCTGCACTAAACCTTCGCCAACATGTGATTTTTACGGTCTGTTAGGGAGAGAAAATATGCAGATTATAGACCTTTCTGAACCAAACAAGTAGTGTCTAATGGCTTTTGCGCTATTTGTAGTGAGCGCGGGAAACTGTCACGCATTTACGGTTGGATTTCGCTCTCGATTGGTTAAAAGCCAGTATCCTGTTCTGATCGGCTACACTCTAAGAAAGTGTTAAGATTTGTATAAATACGCAAACTTTCTTCGTTGACGAAGTTGCTTGCCGTATTGGCGAATACTAGAAACGCAAGTTTTCCGCTCAGAATCGTTCTAAAGCATATCGTTCTTTTCTCTTTGAAGCGTTTGGAAATTTTTTTCCCAAGAAACTATAATTGCGGTAGGAATGAGTAACTGTTCCTGTTCTGTCGTGGGACGGAAGAGGATCTAAACATGTTCAACTCCGCCAACAAAGTGTTCGAACTCGAGAGCAAATCAAGCAAAGATTAAATTTTTAGAGCAGGTGAAATTTTCAGATCATATAATAATTTTATATAGTCCAGCAACACACTAAAAGTGGGTTGAGTTATTTCTTGCTTTAGGCCTGAAAATCTTACTTTAGTCTCATTCTACTTCTACTAGGGCTCGAGTTTAACAGCTCTACGTAAATGCAATATCAGCACCAGATTGATTGTAAATAAAACAATAACACAGAAGACTTTGATGTCATCATTTACGTCACACATTGCGACTGTAAGACAGGGCATAAAATCAACAAGGGCTGGGAACTGCTAAGAACCCAACTAAAGTCAACACACACTGTTTACTTCTGCGCAGTTAGTGGCAAGAATCTCAAGAAGACAATCACATGCAATTTGTCCTCTATGAAAAAGAGCTGTCGACCCGAGAGTAGCATGGTGCGTATTATTAACTGAAGCATTCTTTCCCTCCTAAGTGTTAGCCCTCCACCAAAAAAAAAATCTTTTGTCTAGATTTTCTAAGATTTTGTCTATGAAGTCCACGCTGGTTCACCGGCCTTAGTGCCACAGCTTTTGCTTGGAATTAATCTGTGCAACTGAGACATTCTCGGCCGAGAATTCTCTCAGTAGCAGCGTGGAATAACTTTTCATCCTTGTCTGAAAGATTCACTGCGGAGCTAAAACGTTTTTATTTCACAATCGATCAATGATAAAAAACTTAAAAATAAATACACTATTTAAATTACTATTTGTGGTCACTTGAGAGCTTAGCATAATATTGCTTTCTATAAAAATGTTCTTCAGTTGAGTTGGCACTTCCCATCACCGGCAGCTTCTGGCACTAAGATGACTACTTTGATCTACCATAGTCTGACACTGTAGATCAGAAGAAAATACAAAATGAGCTGCCATCAAATAGATGAAAACTCAAACCTGCCAAAAAGCATGCAACACTTTCAACATGATGTCGAAGTGTAAAAAGAGATACAGAAAAACCTAGTGTCCCAGAGGGTGACGATTTGGCTGATCTCGGGTGTTTGTAGAAAAGGACGCTCTGACTAAGTCGGATCAGGGTGAGCGAAATTGTAGTTCAAAATTGTTTACATTTAATCTACAATTGTCCGCTGCAGGATTTCGTTTCATTATAGCAATCACTGTTAACATCAAAAAGTACTTACCCGACTTGTAAGGCCACTATTGGTGAGTGATATAATAATCATGGACATAAGTCAGAATTGCCAACGGCTGGCCAAGAATGATTGAAAGCCATACCACCATGTTACCATAGTTTGGATAATCGCCAAGAAATTTTTTCACGAGCAAATGGAGAGGCACCTGATGACGAAACGAAGGAATAAAAATAACAGTGCCTTAAAACAACTTTGGAAATAAATTGTCAAGTTGTTTCACAGATTCACGACTGAAAAAACAAAACAATGCAAAGATTTTCGTCTTCAAAACCAGCCTGGTCCAAATAATACATGTTCGAAATTCTTCAATCAAAGACAATTCCCATTATTGACTTCAGGCTACATAAACTGAATGCACTGTGTATGATTTGCATTTTCTTTGTGGTTATGTATTTGGAACAAAGGGATACTTTGCGATCATTTTGACCTGAAATTCCTGTGAAATTCATTTTAAATTACAATATATATGCTATATACTGCATCCCCAATTAGCTCGCGTGTTATCAGGATTAAAGGGAAATCTTCCCCCTCTATTTGAACCCAGAGATATAATAAATATCTTACTCACTCTGTTTTCTTGGTCCTTACTGTAAGTTATGAAACCTCGTTTTTACTGCTCTTTGTGTTGTTGATGTTTTGCTTTCTTTTCGTTTTTTTCCCGATTTTAAGCAAAACTAAATCCGAGCGGAAAAAACGAACTAAACTTACGGAATAGACAGACAGCTTCGAACTCGTTTAGAAAGAGGCATGAATTACACGAAGCCCTACTAACATCATGCCTGTTTTACAGATAACGTTGAGTATTCCACTAAAAAATTTAAGACTGAAAAGTAACCGAATTAGACTAACCTGAGCTAGCATAGCTAGGAACGCCCAGAATCTGAACAGTCGTAAGGGCACACTGACTAAAAACTAAAAAAGAATGCAACATAAAAAACTGCTACCAAGAGAACTATTTGTTCATAAAAACCTTCTTAGGTTGAAGATGGACTTCAAAACAATTCAGTTAGAATTCACGTGAAAGGAATAGCTTGTGTGGAGGCTAAGAAGTTTCCAACTCAGAGGTTACCTGGAATGGACAGCTTTTAAGCTGTCTTCTCCTGATAACCCTCAATTGAAAACAAATATTTGCTGGAAAAGAAACAATTTAAATTGTGGTCCACGCTTGGTGCTTGTGAGGGACATCTAGGGGTAAATATACCATGTACATGTACGTTGCAGTCGATCTCTGTTTTGTCAGCACCGCTTTCACACTTCTTCAGTACTACAACATGCATTTTCCTCAGAATGTGTCGATTCGCCTGCACGAACGTATCCTCTCAAGCTGTAAACTCGGCGAAGAAACCTCCCCTCCAACCTCAATTAATAAGTATCAAAAATGATGAACAATGTAGAAAAACACTTCTAGAAATGTTACAAATTTGGCCACAATTAACATCAGTGAAAACTGCTCCTGCCTTGTAAGGACCCTGAAAAGGATAGTTACCTCGTGGAAAAATGCAGATAGTAAAAACACAGCAACTTGCGCTTGGAGAGATGAATAACCTGACCTTAACATGGGAATATAGAGATGTCTGCCACGGACATAAGAAAAAGGGAAAAAAAAGGAGATGTAAGTATCATTTAAGCTTTTTAGAAAGCCGACTCTGCAAGTTCCCGCAGAAAAAACATTAACACCGTTCTTTGATAGGCCGTACGTCTTAGGTGCCTCTTTTTATACCGAAAGAAAAAAAGAGAAAGTTTTCAAGACAGTTTTGAAAGCAGTAAGAAAAAAACACCAAACGAGCTTTGTGAACTGAGTTTGCAGAAGGGTAAAATACTTTGATATAATCACTTGGCCGGGTGAAATAAGTAAGTAATGATCGATCTCGAGGGAATCGGTGAGTTTAATTTCCTCGAGACTCTATACGTTCCCCGAGATGGAGCCAAGAGGAACATTTAAGGTCCAGTTTCTGCCGTTTTTTTTTTCTTTTTCTTTTTTTTTCAGCATTTATGGACCTTCTGGACCTTCACTTTGTTTCGCTCCATAAAGACGAATAAAAAAGACTTAAAGGTAAATTACCCGCCACATCTCACACTTCAAGCGTGGTTAATTAACCATATGGAATACGACTTGACCAGTTTTCCCCCATTTCCCCCAATCTTTGCCAAGTGGCCTAGCTTCCACTGAACAATCATCGCTTTGAGCATGGGAGCGGTATGCACTTACCTCCTCGCCCAGCGATGAACAGGTATATTCCAGTTTTGCCAGAAGTATGCCACATTTGGAGAATTCCTAAAACAAAGGGGGAAAAGAACAAAGATTACAGATTTAATAATATACATGGAAAAATTACTTAGTTCTGATTGGTTAAGATAAATACAGTTTTCAGGTAATTCAGCGCAGAAGAGAGTTAATACAGTGCAGAAGAGGGTCAATTCAGTGCAAAGAAAGAAACAAATCAGACATTCTGATTGGTCAATAATCAAAGAAACTCACAGATAGCCAATCAAATGCGAGCCTTGGATATCGCAACAAAGTTTGAAAATTTGAAAATTTGCGAGCGAAACAACGGCCGTTGTTTTAAGTAGGCTTTCTTTCGCCACCGCAGCCGAAAAACAGCTTAAACAACGAAAACACTGTAAAAAGCACTGCTTTTTGGTTGTCGGTTTGGAAAAAGTGGTGTTTAGAGAAGGGAATTGCCGAGGAAATCGAAAATTACTAGCCGACCCAGCTTAACACTTTGCTCGAGCGATCACACGCCGAAATTGAAAACAAACATGGTTAAACCTCGGAAACGACGATTCCATTTCATCGAAGGTGATTCGGACACAGACTGAACAATTCCTTCAACTGTTTAGCCGGATTTTGAATTTTTTTGCACCTTAAAAATGCGAAGATAACATTGCATAATTTATTATTGTTTTGATCGTACGCGGTTCTTTTGACCGAACGCAAGGTTTGAACAAATTATTTTTGCACTCGACGCGCGCGCTTTGCTTATGTTTAATTATGATGAGCCATCTCGTATTTTTCCATGTATATTATTAACACGTAATCACATGATTTTTCTCGTGCAATTTGGAATAAACAAGCACTTGTTAATTTTTTCAAAGACCACAAATTACACTCGCCCTACGGACTCGTGGAATTTTGTTAGTCTTTAAAAAAATTTACTCGTGCTTATTGCGCTCGAAATCATGTGATTACCTATACAAAACGTTACTGTTTAGCCTCCACAAAATGGCTAGATGTTTGTTAACAGATGTTAAATGCTTACTAGACAACCCTAGGGGCATTGGAATATTTTTTTTCTCCAATATCCACTGCCTGACACAAAGGATTATCCTAGAAAACGAGGACTGCATATGGTCCAATCGTTCACAGGTCTCCAGATTAGGATGGAACTCTAATACTTACCACCAGTCTCGATAGAAAGTCCTGTCACCAAACCTTAATAGTTCTGCTAAAATGTTAAGGCCACTGTGGAAGAAGGCGTAGAAGAACAGCAGCCATAACAAGTGGTTGGGAACCTGGAAAAATAAATCCAAATTACATTTCACTTTCTCAAAATAATATTTTTCTTAGCGATAATTCACTTTAAACGATCTTAAATGTCAAGCAGTGGGGTATTATTATTTCAGTTATCCTCCATCAGGGAAATTAAATTGAACAGGTAAGGAGTTGTTTAAGATGGAAATCATTGGAATTTCAATCTAATCAGGGAGCAAATATCTATGGGGGCAACAAACGGTAGTCTAAAAGGGGGTGTGATGAGACTATAAAAGTCAAGCCCTGTTTAATAGAGAATATTTTATTTTCATTTTATATTTTGTTGGGGGAAAGAACAAAAATGTGGCTGTTATGATGACATGATGACAGATCAAACACTTTTCATGACAAAGGTACATACAAGCATACATGTGTATTTGTCTAGGTTACAACATCATTTCAAGAGCAGGCAGTAAATTTTTTGATCAGTGCTTGTTACACCAAGTTGCAAGAGAAATCATGTTGTTACTTGTAAATGATGTAAATGAAAAAAAGCCCCACAGAAAGTCAAGACAGATGAAATTTTGGCTGCACTCACATGCTATCTGTAATTTGCATTTATTTTACATGAAAAATGCACTTGTTTCTGCTAATCAGATGCAAGCAATTTTTTCATGTATATTGTAATAACTGATGTAGCAGATTATTGAAAGGCAACTGATAAAGCTGATGTAGACCTGCACCCTGGTCACATCTTATAGAGCCCTTTTTCACTCCAGAAAGACGTAAATTAAAAGACTCCTGAAATAAGACTAATGGAAACATCTTTGACATCATTCTGTGTTTGAATAAGGTTTTAAGGTCCTCAGAGTAGTTTTCACACTTACTGCAAGTTTCATTATTCTCTCAAGGCCTCTGCCTACATCCATCTCCTGTCAGACAATAAATTTTCACCATCAGACTGTCATGTTAAACCTTTAACTCTCAACTTTTCAAGATCTTGTTAGTAATGCTCCCTTCCATCTGTTATACATTTTCTTTACATCAGCCATGAAAAACTGACCTGCTTGTCATTTCTTATCTCCTATTGCTAGATAAGGTGCTGACATTGCAAGGAGAGGCTCCATTGCACATGAAAATTATTTCTGAGAGTAAGAGAGGAGAGAAAAAAGCTGCATCACCTTGACCCTTTAACCCCTAGGAATGATTAGCATCTAATTTCTCCTTTCAATATCACCCCTGAATCAAACATTATGGTCAGGAGAATAAAGGATATGATCACCAACTGAAGAGTTCTTGATTGCTAGACTAATTCTCCTTGTCAATAGCATAGGAATTGTATGGAGAATATGCATACTGATAGTAAGGTTTAAAGGGTTCAATACATTGTGTATGTACATTGTACTTGGATAAGAAGTCACATTCCTACCTGTATTGGTTTCATAGAGTTTTTTACTGTAGGTACAATCCACTAAAACCAAAACAAAAGTAAAATGTGTATACTGATATTCAAGGTTCTCTTGCATAGCCTTTACAGCACTCAGTGAAGCATACAAATATTACCCCTTAAGCCAAATGTTGGCTGCAATAAATATGGATCTATGATCACCAAAAATAGTAACTGGTAAAGGAAGATCTAGATTGAAGCCAACAACCCTATCCTTTTTCACATAACATTTAACAGCAAGAACACTGAGCATGATTACCTGCTGAAATGCTCCAATTACAATGCCAATAATGAAAAACTGAAAGTAAATAAAAAAAATCTTGAATTAAACATAACTCAAGAAATAAAGGTAGCCAAGACAACAAAATCAACCCTAGTTTGGTTCAAGCATTTCATTCTCATTGGCAATTCTCCAGTTGTGTTTGAAATCAAAGGAACATATTTGCCTAATTTCAACTTAACACATTCATCCAAGTTAATGTAAGTGTTAATCAAACAGATAAGTGGACATACAAATTCAGCCAGTCTTCTCAAAAGAAAACGCTTCCGTATCCTTTCACTTCTGGGATAATTGAGCTCATAACACAAAGTTGGTGCAAAAATGAAGTAATATAAATCTGAAATTAAATTGATAAAGGTAAAGCAGTTAGAGATAAAATGTGTCACCTGACAAAACGTGATCTAACACATGACAAGCCCAGTTTGAGCATGGCTGAGGATTTAAACGTGATACAAGATTAAGGTCATGGTTTGGTGAATTTAAGAACCATAATTTTCCGCCTAAAGTATATGTGAAAGAATAATTTTTTCTTCTCATTTCATGAAAAGATTTTCCTGCAACCTTGTACATGGAGATAGATTTGAAGGTTTCTCTTTTAAAATTGTGACACCTGAAATGCTGTTTAAAATACACACGATGCAATCATTTTTCTAAAATTCAGGTGTGAAACAAGATCTGGAACCCTCCTTTGCTACCCTCTTGCTTAAGAATGAAAGGGAAGCAAGGGTATAAATAGGCAGTGAAGTAGGAAGACAAAACTAAACAAACACAAAGAACAAGACAAAACTATGCATTTTACACCATTAATAAACCCAAGTCATACGATGAGATACAAGAATTTTGAACAGTGCACAAAGCATTTGCATGACAAAGAGATTTACCAGTACCAATCAAGTTGCCTGACCTTTCTGAGTGAGATTTTCAGGATACTTCACCAAAGGAAGAGTTTCAGGTTTCCCATTTGCAACATGACCTGCCAAAATTGGATCAAGTTATTCAGTGAACAACTCATAAAGAACATTAATTTAATCTTAACAATTCTATATGAGAACAATGAACAGGATTTTCATTGAAAACTGTACTTGGCTTGAAAAGTTGTGGGGCAATAAATCGCCCCACACCTGATTAACCAGTCATAAAAATTTAATGAAAATGTCACCTAGGCGCAACTCTTTATGCTCTATATGCCCTTATCCCTATTCTGTTCTCCATACTGTTCTCTATACATTTTCTTAATTCTCATGATCTTTATGCTTGACTCAGCAGTGACATTGTAAGGAGAAATTAAATTCTCGTCACTCTTA